GTTGATTAATTGACAAATATGTATTGAATATTTTTTGTGGTTAGCTGCAATAATTGTTGATTGTTATATATATATTATTATCAAGAATGATTGTAGGCGATAGACTCACCGAAAAAAAACAATAAACGATTGGATTTGTCCACTTGACCATTTATAATGTATAGAGAATGTCTCATTTGAAAAAATACGGCCAAATATCTCCTAAGGCGGGCAAGTGACAAAAAAATATTCGATACAAAAATTGTAGGGTTTCGAGGGAGACATTCGATGCATTCATTATTTTGAACTTTCAAGCTCATGCTTGCCAGCTGCAAGCACAAAGCCCTTTTTTTTAATGGCAACCACATTTTTTACCCCAATGAAACTTGTTCATCTTGATGATTTGTTTTCAGACACCTCGTCATTCATGTAATTTCCTCAAATTTTACTCAAAAAATGCCACAAAAACGAGTTCTGTGGTCAGATTGAAGATTCAAACATCCTTGGCGCACCTTGGTGTAATTGTTCCGTTGATTTCTTTACCAACAGGAGTTATCAAATGTAAACAATAAACAAAAAATTTTCCTACTACTTCGAGGATTCTTTTATTCTATTCAGTACTCCATCTCATTTCACTCGAGTTGTAAGAGATTACCTGAACAGTTCCTTCCCGAATCGTTGGATTGGTTGGGGTGGTTACATTTTGTGGCCTCCACGATTACCGGATCTTACGCTCCTCGACTTCTATCTGCACTGAGAAAGAAAATTTCTAAGAAATAGAAATTCTATGTTTGACCCAAATCGTTCATCGATTGAATAGTCGCAAAAGAAAATGCTATTGTAAGTCACAAATATCGATTTGATTGTAATGTTTTCGATTAAAAAAGAATGAGATCAGTTATCTAAACTTTTTTTTTTGTTACTATCTACTTTTCAGTACATACAAATCAATGTCTTTATTACCAGATATCTTCTTCGAATAAAGCATGTAATTATCCAATTTATCGTCGTCACGATATCCCGCAAAAGAATATTTGTTCGATTGAAAGCAGAATTCATGGATGCAATAAAATATTCATTCCGTCTATGAGGAACATATTGTTGGATACTCATTGGCGCGAAACTTTCGCGGTGAGCAGTTTCTTATTTACAACAAACGCAATTTTTCATCATTTGAACTGATTATTTTTCCATTGCAATTGTGAAAAAAAAAATTATTTGCACCAAATCCGAAGCGTTTGAACTAAACCAAAATTGAATTGGTTTGGTATGAAATCGATTTTATCGCAAAAACATGTATTTTCAAAATTCGATAGAATAAACAAAATATACTATACTATAACAAAATCGATTTCATACAATCCAATTTTGGTTTAGTTCAAAGNTTCAGTACTCCATCTCATTTCACTCGAGTTGTAAGAGATTACCTGAACAGTTCCTTCCCGAATCGTTGGATTGGTTGGGGTGGTTACATTTTGTGGCCTCCACGATTACCGGATCTTACGCTCCTCGACTTCTATCTGCACTGAGAAAGAAAATTTCTAAGAAATAGAAATTCTATGTTTGACCCAAATCGTTCATCGATTGAATAGTCGCAAAAGAAAATGCTATTGTAAGTCACAAATATCGATTTGATTGTAATGTTTTCGATTAAAAAAGAATGAGATCAGTTATCTAAACTTTTTTTTTTGTTACTATCTACTTTTCAGTACATACAAATCAATGTCTTTATTACCAGATATCTTCTTCGAATAAAGCATGTAATTATCCAATTTATCGTCGTCACGATATCCCGCAAAAGAATATTTGTTCGATTGAAAGCAGAATTCATGGATGCAATAAAATATTCATTCCGTCTATGAGGAACATATTGTTGGATACTCATTGGCGCGAAACTTTCGCGGTGAGCAGTTTCTTATTTACAACAAACGCAATTTTTCATCATTTGAACTGATTATTTTTCCATTGCAATTGTGAAAAAAAAAATTATTTGCACCAAATCCGAAGCGTTTGAACTAAACCAAAATTGAATTGGTTTGGTATGAAATCGATTTTATCGCAAAAACATGTATTTTCAAAATTCGATAGAATAAACAAAATATACTATACTATAACAAAATCGATTTCATACAATCCAATTTTGGTTTAGTTCAAAGAGATATTTGTGTTTTACAATAGCATTTTCTTTTGCGACTATTCAATCGATGAACGATTTGGATCAATCATAGAATTTGTATTTCTTAGAATTTTTGTTTCTCAGTGTGTGGGGCTTCATCAAAGATGTTGTTTACAGTGTGAACTTTACACAAACCGACCGACCACTCCAGTGGATTTACAGAGACATATCAGGGAGGCTATTGCACGCATTACTCCACAAATTGTTCGAAGCGTTGTTGAGAATTTCCGCCATCGAATTGAGTTGTGCCTGCAAGTTAACAGTGGAAACATTGGTCATTTCCGGTAAACGCTCACGAACTTCCACACATGTTCGCCCTATTTTTTTCTTTTTTTTTTAGCCCAAGAGATGCGAAGCAGACTTTACATCTACGTGATGCATCCTAGGTCATACTAAAAAAGTCTGAATCTTCAATTTGACCACAAAACTCGTTTTTGTGGCATTTTTCAAGTAAAATTAGAGGAGATTACAGGAATGACGAGGTATCTGAAAATAACTCATCAAGATGAACAAGTTTCATTCGGGTGAAAAATGCAGTTGATATTTTAAAAAGAGCACTTTGTGCTTACAGCTTACAAGCATGAGCTTAAAAGCTCAAAATAATAAATGCATCGAATGACCCCCTCGAAACCCTACAATTTTTGTATTTAACATTTTTTGTTACTTGCCCGCCTTAGGAGATATTTGGCCGCATTTTTTCAAATGGGACACCCTGTATACTGTAGAAAATAATTATTTATGATTGCGGATACATTAATATTTTTTTCATTCTCAATCAATCATCATATTATTCGATAATTTTCCTCCCGCTCATCAAAAAGCAAAATACGAACTTTCCTTTGTAGGCGTGTTAAAAAATCGCATGTGCACCTCGTCAAGACTTTCCGCCCTTGATGCAGAATATACTAGTTTTCGATTAATCGACAAACATCGCCCATCCCTATTCGCTGCTGAATTCAATCTCTCATAGTCATGAAGGATATTATAAATTTCCTTGAGAATATGTAGGACAAATGCCAAATGGTATACTGCTTCAAAGAAAACGCAGAGACAGATCCCTCTGATGCTCATTAGAAGCCAAACTCCAGTTGTTTTAACTGCTGGGAAAATTATCGTTATGAATATGGAAACATATGCTCTGGTAAGATTGCACGTGTTTTCTCTTCTGAAAAAATCACTTTCTTCTGTTTAACTTTTGGTTGTGCTGTCACAGGTTCTGAAGACTGCAGCATCATATTTCATGGTGTTTTCGGCTATGCAATGAAATGAGGCGGTGCTTGTTCTGCGAGTATTTATATAATAAAATAGAAAATATTATAATGTTATTATTGTCTTTCTACTTATTTCTTTTCAAACATAAGTGATTCTCTCAAATTTCCTTCAGTTGTCGTTGTGGTAATAAAATCACTTCAAGTATATCCGATTAATGATTAAATGAATCGAGGGTAGAGTAGTTTTTTGGGTAACATTATGGTTATACCTTCTCATAATAGTTATTTTCATCGCAAGGTCCACAAAGTATTGTTTGACGAATGTGGCTTTGTTTTTCTACACCCTATAATCACATTCGTCAGAAAATACTTTTGGACCGTGTGACGTATGCAATTTTTCGTCAGAAGGCCCGTAAACCGCGATCTAACCGAGCGAAGCGAGGTTAGAATCGCCGTTTACCGGGCCTTTTCACGAAAACTTCGATTTTTTCAACTTATAAATGATTTTCTTTTTTTTTAATTTATACTGATCAATTTATCACCAAAGTGTAGAGGTGCAATTAATTTTTAGAATTAATATTTGATTTTTTTTTGAAATTTGATTTAATTCAATTTTTCAATTAATTGATTATTTTCCCTTTTTTGTATTGTCATATTATTTTTATCTCTTTCTTGAGATTCTACCCACCAGCAACGTTCTCGTCGTGAATCCTGGGTTACGCTAAGAGCTGGTGAGGTTTGTTAAATACCTCACTACTCGATAAAACAACGTAAATTCTAAATGTATACCATTTATTGTGAATTCTTGAAGAATCCATGCCTCGAGAAGGTGAGACGGAGTATTGAGGACCATCCCGTACATGTGTTTGAGCACTTACTTATAAAGTAGGATGACTCATAGCGGTGGAATTTATATTGTGTAACCTAGGTCCCAGAAAGGGACGAAATCACACCTCATAACATCCGAATAAATTCTAGTTTATGAGAGCGACTTTTTCTAATATTTTTCCCGTTAGTAATTCGTAAATATACATCGATTCAGTATATAAAATCATAAATTTAAGGTGAACAGGGTTTACTATAGTAATACCGTTTTTTGTGTCATGAAAAAACTCAACTCTTTTACTCAGGTAGTGATGTCGTCCACTTTGAACGCTTCGAGTTTCAAAGAGAAGTCATTGCCTTAAGGAATCGTACAGAAAAAATTTCTCTCTCTCTTTATTCGTTTTAACACTATTTCTGCTTCTATTCGTACTCGCTTCGTATTAAATAAGTCAGAGCTGACGCCATAGAGTCTGAAAATTCTTGCCTTTCCTCTTCACTTTGATAATCGAAAGGTGTGGAAATCAATTGCTAATGCTTGCCACGAACTGAAAATTCTTTTCCTCGCGAAGTATTTAAAAAAATCATTGCATCACTGTCAATCACACATGTTTCTTTTCTTCCCCCCTGTGAGCCAATACTTAATTCATCGATCATGCTTAGAAGGGCTGATGCCCCAACGCAGCTGCTAGTACGTGATATGCTGAGCAGAGGAAGAACTTTAGATATGGACTTTTAAGACTAGTCCTATCATAAATCCATTGCGAAACAGTCTGTTCTCCATCAATATTTTTAGATAAATTTCCGTTAAGGTCATGTTTATTTTCAATTGGATTTGTTGAATTTATAAGAATCTGCACAAATGTCGGACGCTGATGATTTTTGGAACCATCCCTATTACAAAATGATGAAAAAGGTGACGAGTTTTATGGGCCAATGGCCCTATCAATCTATGAGGGTACACCTCGCAACTGCCTTTATCACCTTTTCTATTCTCAGCATGATGCTGACAGTGCAGGTACTATTGAAAAATTAATTTGTCTCCGGTCTTACAATTTTTGCTTCCGAATGGAAGCTTTGTAATCGTTCAAATTTAAGTTTTCAATTTTTTGTGTTATATCGACAAGAATTTATATTAAAATGGTTTACGTTTTCTATATTATTGAAGTTATCAGCTTTTTGGGTAAATCGACGCAATATCGAGATAGTTCTGGATTGTAGTGTTCCCTTCGTCACAGATTTAATTCTACTGACAAAATACGTGAATAATTGTTGCCATTATAATATGGCAAGTTATGTTTTTCCAAGCATTCATCGTTTAGTTAAAGGGTAAAATAATTGCCGATCGTCCCCTCAATTTATAGATGGTTCACCTCTTGGAGCAAATCAAATGTAATTGGACTATTCTCCCGAAAAATAATGGACTCCATATGCTCCACGATTACAGTGTCTTCGCGCAAAAATTCGTGAAGATATATATGAGTGAGTCATCTAGCTCGAAAATGATCATATTGACTTACCATTGATATGTAACTAATCCGAAATTTATTCAGCGGCGATGTGGTTGAGTTGTGCAAGTTACATAAGTGAACCGTTGCAGGAGAGATTAACTGTTCATCTTCTATACCCCAACGTCACATTAGCAAAGAGATTTTCGATGCCCTTCGAATTTGGCCCAGTTGATGTGGACACTTGGTATTATTATCTCTGGTGTGCAACTTCATTTGGTATATTGACGCGTTTGACAGTCATTGGTTCATGTGATCTATTAATGTTCACATTTGCTGAGCATGCAAATGGATTACTCAAGGGATTGGGGTGACGTAGAAGATGACTGATAGAATTGCAAGCACGGAATTTCTTAATGTAAATTTTTTGTTGCAGATATGCAATTGAACATCTGCCTCCGCACGATGAGTGTGAAAGTGATGACGAATGTTATGAGTATATGAAACGCTGCGCTATGATCCATGGGCGTGCAATAGAGTATGTCATCATCTGATGATGATATCGTAGTACACCGGATTGATAATAAAATTCCAATGAACAGGTTTGCAGAAAAAGTTAGAGACATGTACCTTTGGTCTTTCTTCGGAACAGTTGGGCTTAATATGACCTTAATGAGTATAACTGGTGTGCAGGTATTGTCATCAGATTGTACACTGATAGAAAGAATTATTTTTATTGAGGTCTTCCTTTCTTGAAACAAGTATTATATACTTGAATTAATTTCAAATAAATAAGATCTTACGGTGAATATAAATTATTTCTTCTTGAGATACATTTACTTGAATCAAATAAAACAGCCCTTGGAGTCAAGTCACATGTATTCACCACAAAAATGGAAAAGTTCTATTTTTGCTTCCGAATGGAAGCCTTGTAATCGACAATTTTTACGATCTCGTAATTTTACATGGAAATGATGTAGAATGTCATGAAACGTGAAAATATGATGTTTTTAGAAAATGTATGTATGCATGTCGGAATATGTATGCCGATTTTTCGGAAATTTTTTATAAATCCCCCCGAAAAAAGGACCAAAGTTTGAGCTAAAAATCTGAAATTTTGTCAGATAATTGGTATTACTTTGGAGCATTTGTGGGTCCAAGTTCAGCTCAATCGGCCCAGTAGTTTCCGAGATATAGCAATTTTTCAAAAATCTTTTTTCCTTAATATCTCATAAACTACGTGACCGCATTGAAGTTTTTTAATGGGAAAGTATTCCTTACGATAATATCTATCGAACCAAATCAAAATATTGCTACGTAACTAGGGTCAGTTTAGTAATAATCGGCATTTTTTATTTTTACTAGGAAATCGTTGTGGAAACGATAACTCGTTGAAAATCCAAGATAGGAAGTTGGAATTTGGTAGGATTATAGCTCTTATGATATTACAGAACTGTATTATTCACGAGCTGAATCGGATAAGTAGTTTAGAAGATATTCAACTTTTTGTGAAAAACTTGTGCTTAATATCTCCTAAACTACTGGACCGATTCACTTTTTTTTCAAAATATTTGTCACGATATCTTCTATCAAGATCGATCAAAATATGTATACCCGCCCATTCAAAGTTTTCGAGATATCAGCGGTTTTCCATTTTTTTTATTTTAAAGTTAATGTGGTGTCCAGAATACGGGTCAAGCTTGGTCTAGACATCTGAAATTCTGGGTACTAATTTGTATTATGAGCCCACAGTTATGTATAAAATTTTATGTCAATCGATTCAGTACAACTGGGCATAGAGCAATTTATCCAAAAATCTTTTTTTCTAAAAAATTACACATCGTTATTTTATCAATGATTTTCATCTCTACTATATGACTTAAAAAGTCATAACAACAATTTATGGTATTTTGTATTTGATGAAATGTCATAGCTATGACAGAGGTAGAGTTCGGTATGGTCTTTTTTTTTTTAAGAAATGTAAATTTTCTACGATCTTTATTATCAAAAGTACGGTCATTAGTTGATTTTGAGTTTCATGTAAATATAATGTGAATACTTTTGCCTAATTTGGATTGCATTAATATTTCAGTTCATGAGATGAGTCTAATTGTACGTGTTCGAAGAATCAGATATTTTGAGGAAAATACGTTTCAAGAGGAAGACGTTTCTTCTTTTTCTACTCAATCCTATTCTAAAAAGAACATACACTTAAAGTCGATAACTATCGATATCTCGCAAGCCTGTCACGCTTATTCCTCATTGGTTCCAGTCGTCTGAGGCGGCAAATTTAATTCATGATTAATTTTATTTTGAGATGTTCAATTATGATTGTTACAATTACAGCGCGCTGTAGCGCGCGTTCGGTCTCGTAGAGTTATATAGTGGACTCCCGTTAGTCACACAGTCGCATTTCCCCTCATATCGATTTTTCGGTCCACGAGTGCTCCCCCCACTCCATTATTAGTCGGTACGCTGAACCTGGTTCTGTATCAATTTCAGTGTCCGTGAGTTTTGATGTGTGGAATTTATGTTTTTTGGCTCGCTGATTCCGAATTTGATAGTCTTTTTTCACAAAAATTCTATTCTATTTGTTATTAACAATTTAATTGTTTAACCCATCATATCACAAAAATGGTGAGAGATAGGGAACAAAGTTTCGAACAAAAGATGTTTAACGTGTAATAATACACATTTCTTGTTTTATGACTTTTTCCCCTAACTATGACAGACAAGGAGTTATCGGGGATCGGAGCCAAGCAGGTGGCACGTTAGCGCTTGCGCGAGGTTTCGACGCGCTCCAATGCATTTAACGGCAAACTCGATAAAGATAACGTAAAATGGTTCAAATAAAAGATGTTTGTTATTAAATTTTACACATAATTCGTATTTTAAATTTTTTCATTATATCTCGTCATCAATGAGATATCAATGATTTTAGGTTGCATGGTGAGGTAAATTATCGAAAAAATTATTGTTTACGGCCGTTTTACGACTAAACGGTGCAAGATACGGCAAAAACTTTCGCATTCAAAATGTTTCCCCATTAACAATACATTGATTTGATTTTATGCCTTTTCATCATATCTCCATTATCTACAGGGATATAGGCCGTTATATGAGAACGCGAGGACTCCACGCGGTTATTATCCATTGGCTGAACCTAATTCTAAAACGATTTCGAGGTCCGTGAGTTTTTTTGTGTGGAATTCATGTTTTTTGGGTCGCTGATTACGAATTCATCCGTTATTTTTCTACAAAATTCGGCGTTCAATTTTTTATAAACAATTTAATTGTTTATATCGCTGTAGCCCCCGAAGTATGATAGGTAGACAAAAACTTTCAAATGATGAATTATTTAGAATTTCATAAGGAATAATTTATGTTTTTATCATTTCTACGTACCTTTTCAAGATTCCGAGATATAAACAATGAAAGAGTTGCGCGACCCATCGCAGCGCTTTCGGCCCCACCGCGTGAGACAAGTAGAAACAAGTGGTAGCTCTCATTTAATGATAGCAGCAGTAATAAATTGATCATGTCATAATAATGTCAACAACGATAGTGTGTTAAATACTCGATTTCGAGAGCATTGTAGGAGGTGAAAAGGGACGCTCCAAGCCTTCCGTTTGCGGGCTACACACGGCGTGCGGTGGGCCCGCGATGGTTCGCGCAACTCTTTCATTGTTTATATCTCGGAATGTTGAAAAGGTACGTAGAAATTCCATAAATTATTCCTTATGAAATTCTAAATAATTGATCATGTGAAAGTTTTTGTCTACCTATCATACTTCGGGGGCTAGGGCGATATAAACAATTAAATTGTTCATAAAAAATTGAACGCCGAATTTTTTAGAGAAATATCGGATGAATTCGTAATCAGCGACCCAAAAAACATGAATTCCACACAAAAAAACTCATGGACCTCGAAATCGTTTTAGAATTAGGTTCAACCAATGGATAATAATCGCGTGGAGTACTCGCGTTCTCATATAACGGCCTCGCTCTGTAGATAATGGAGATATGACGAAAAAGCATAAAATCAAATCAATGTACTGTTAATGGGGGAACATTTTGAATGCGAAAGTTTTTGCCGTATGTTGCACCGTTTACTCGTAAAACAGCCGTAAACAATAATTTTTTCGATAATTTACCTCACCATGCAACCTAAAATCATTAATATCTCATTGATGACGAGATATAATGAAAAACGTACTATGTGCGTCTGTAGAAGAATATAATGTAAAGTATAGGTCCATTTAAATGAATAATAACTTTATTAACGATTTTGGGGCGAAATGAATAGCAAAAAAAAAATACAAATAGTGACAGGACGCGTCCGTCACTATCATAATTCGCGTAATTTCTTATACGAATTTTAACTTTAACGAGTGTAAAAAATTAATCCATCAATTTTTTCTAGAAGTATTTTCTTAAACAATAATCTCTCGTTTGAATAGGGAAATCCTGTACAAACAGGGTGGAGAAACATTTATTATTGATTATAAAATTTTGACGACAATTCAAAGTATTAGGCATAGAATTTTTATTATGATTTCTATTTTCTATGGACTTTTAGAGATTTCTTCTACATTTTAATGTTTTGTTCAACTTTGAGAAATTAATATTCACATAAGATTAGGTGTTATTTTGACATTTTCAAATTAATATTTGTTGATAACACTAAACTGCCAATTGAGCACACGGTCAGTCAAAATGACTTCATCTACATTGACTTTCGTTTAGAATTTATATCAAATTTTTATCTTCAAACTGTAAGTTGAGTTTATACTTTAGCTTATTTTGTTTTTGAGAACTCAATGAATTGTTTGAAATGTGTCATAAACATAAAAATAATTACTCACTTTTGTGGGGTATTTTCTTGGTTACCGGATATTTGTTCCCCGGAAAAATGTTCCCCATTTCTTTTTTTTCTGTCTCAATCCTTGAAACATTCCTCCTTTTTTTCCTGCCTCAATCCTCGTTTTGTTTACATTCTTATTCCTCTGAATGGCCAGTATTTACTTCTTGATTCAACCGGTATGTAATAAAAAAACAAAAACAAATGTTTTTGTAAAAAAGCTGCGCCAAGAAAAAGATTTATTTGGTTTTTACTGGAAACTTGAAATTTTTGAAAAATACAAAGAAATAAAAACGAAAGCCAAGTCAGGAATGTCAAATAAATGGGTATAGTACACAATCAGATTTCTATAAGAAAAATGGATCTCAATAAAAAAAGCATTTTTAAAAAATTCTCCATAACATAAAAAATTAGTACGGGCAGGACCAACGTCCTTGGCGCGGATCAGCAGATGGAGGATTAGATTCATATAGCCAGTGAGTAGAAAAAATACGCGCCAAGAACGTTGGTCTTGCCCCTACTGATTTTTTATGTTATGGAGAATTTTAAAAAAATGCTTTTTTTATTGAGATCCATTTTTCTTATAGAAATCTGATTGTGTACTATACTCATTTATTTGACATTCCCGACTTGGCTTTCGTTTTTATTTCTTTGTATTTTTAAAAAATTTCAAGTTTCCAGTAAAAACCAAATAAAACTTTTTCTTGGCGCAACTTTTTTACAAAAACATTTGTTTTTGTTTTTTAGCGAGATTTCATTCATTTTTTCAAATTAAGCACATTTTTTCAATTAAGAATTATTTTCATATCATTAGGAAGTTGTTCTCTCCAATTTAACTCATTTGTTTTTTCACAAGAAATTTATTGTTGAACATAGTAAAAATTGCGAGGCGGTATAGTAGAAAGTAGTTGAATAAAAGTAAAATTTAATTTGTCATGAGTAAAAATTCGTTTAAGATAAATCAAATTTTAAAATTGTTTCGGTATGGTCCTCGATTACTATGTTCACATTGTAATTTTTTATTATTTTATATTTTCTCCATGTGGAAGAAAATTATATGCAAACTGACCATTCAGAAGCATATTGCTAATTTATTAGCAAAAATAACTATAGAATAGTTTGTTTTCGTATTCTGCGTATCTCACCGTAACCTAATTTATAACAGTTTTTCCCACGGAATTGGAAACACTTTCTGTTATCCCTCAAAGAAAAATATATATTGTCATTTCAATTTCAACTATCCACCAACATTTAACACTTGATTACACAATATTCGATAAATAGCATTTCTGTCAATTTCCAAACATAAACCATAACCTCACAAACTATTTTTATCTCCGAGGACCGGATATAGATATGACGAGAAGAAATCTGAATTTTCGACAAAAGAAAAAAGATAGAACAAAGAGTTAATTTTTCGTTTTACTCTAATGAGTGATTCAAAGTGAAAAGAAAACATTCCCGTAGTTATCGACATGGAGAATAGAAACCTCTTCTCCATGGTTGTCCATAACAACATCACAACACATGGTTAAACGCACTGGTGGTAACACTGCGACGTTCAATGTGAGGCTCAGTTGGGCCGACGCTGCCAACGTCGTAAACAAAAACTCACACTTTATAATGTGAATCGCAAGAATGAGAATATCAAACCGTTGCTATGCGCGTATCTTCAGCATTGTTAATCCAAATAACCCAACAGTTACACCACTGAAAAGCTCGTAGACGATTTATATAGTGTAACTAAGGACGGTTTTTCGATTTGTCTTCCCGTTCTCATTATATTAAATGGAGGTGATATAGAGGCAGTGGAAGGGGAAGTGACGTCGTGTATAGATGCGCGGTGCGCTCGGCCTGATGTTAAAACTTTTCTTGGCCGATACGCTCCCGCGTATCTCGACTTCGGTATTATTGTGATTTGGGTTTGAGTGGGGGAGGGGGGCTCATTGAGAGATGTTATTATCGTATATCGAGTAACGTGTTCATCAGGCTTACAGTTGTTAGTGTGGTATCGCTATTCGTAGGGACTTGTTGTTGCATGTAATCAATTAAAATGGTGGATATTGTTGCTTATTTGCTAAACCACTCTCAGTCACCAACATTTGCCTGCCAGAATTACTGCGACAAAATTTATAAGATGCCATGGACAGCAGCATAAATGCAGAGCCGAGCAGCAAATAAGCAACAATATCCACCATTTTAATTGATTATATGCAACAACAAGTCCCTGCGAATAGCGATACCACACTGACAACGGTAAGCCTGATGAACACGTTACTCGATATACGATAATAACAACTCTCAATGAGCCCCCCATCCCCTCTCAAACCCAAATCACAATAATACCGAAATATTACATATCGGTTTAATCAAGTAAACACTGGCCATTCAGAGGAATAAGAATGCAAACAAAACGAGGATTGAGGCAGGAAAAAAAAGAGGAACTTTTCAAGGATTGAGATTGAAAAAAAAGAAATGGGGGACATTTTTCGGGGAACATTTCTCCTAGAACCTATTTTCTTCAATGTGAGGTATGAAATATGAATACTCCACTCTCATTTCCATTTTGGATATCGGAGAAAAAAAATATACCGTCGACTGGAGAGTAAGAAACGTTTTATGGTTTGCAACAAACCTGAAGTTGCTCATTATTTTTTATTTTGTTTTATTATTTATATAAGAAAGATTTTCTCAAATGGTACATCAATTTTTATCATAATTGCAAAATAATTGGACTCGTGTGATTGCATTCCTTGGCTTCGCCTCAACCCGCAATCCCCCCACTGGTCAGAAAATTTTTTTTCGACATATGTGCATGAAAATTTTTTTTTACTAATTTTCGTGTGTGAAGTAGGTCTTTTTGGGTGTATTCTAGAGTAGTTAAAAGAGTCCACTTTTTTTACTTGTGAAAAAAGGAATGTAAAAAAGTACACCGCTCGAATTTGCGTAGCCTACGACTCTCGCTAAAAACATCACACCACTCGCTCATATCCCCCCAATTTATACACTTGTAATGTAAGATACTATTTCGGCCTTGTGACAAAAATAGCCATTTTCTCAATATCTCAAAAAGAAAGTAACTGAATTGGATGTTTTTTATGTCAAGATATTCATCATGATAAGATGTATAAAATCAAATAAAAATATTGTTATGCCAGAACGGTTTGGTAATAATCGGGATTATTCATTTTTATGAAAAAATCATCGTGCGCACGATAACTTTCGAGAAAAAAAGTAAGAAGTTGAAATTTGGTAAAATTGTAGCTCTTATGACATTACAGGATGAAATTGTATAGCTCTGACAGAATCAGAGGTCGGTGTGGTTCATTCCCCCTACCAATATGAATAGCTTTCTGAGTAGTTATCATCTGCGAAATTGTACGGATCCATTCGGAAGTTTATTACCAATGGAATTGGTAGAAAAAAAAAGTAAATGTCACATGGCTTCTGCCAAAAAGGCTTACATCCCTGCTTGTTTTAATCTAATATAATATCCAGTCGAGAAATTTTCTACTTTTATGAATTGATAAAACTTTGTACCTAGGAGATGATTACATTGAGGAATGAATTGAATGTTGTTTTTTCGAATGAAGCCAATGTTTAAATTGAGCTTTCCATACATCACATTGAACGAAATTTGTGATATCCAAGTTTGTGTTGAATTGCCGTAATCTGTGATTCTATTATTGTAAACTAATGCAATTTCTTTAGTAAAGAAATATCAACTTCTTTCAACCCAACGACATCTTACTACAATCTCAAAGATTTTTCCGCGTATCAATATTCATCCTGATTTGACATACGAAATGCTCCCTTCAATTATAATTTAATTGGAACAACGTATGATCGTGTTGATTGAGATAACAACGTATTTAGTCATGAGAATAAATTTGATTTTTAAGCATTTTAAACCTTAAAGTTTATTCTGCCATACATACATTGTCGAACTTGATGGACGAAATATTGTACAAGCCAAAATGACATAAGTATGTTTAATAATACATGTTATTGTTATCTGTGGAACTTTACATAAGATATAAATCGAGTTTTAAGAAACTTAATTATACTTTAAGTTTTGTGGCTTCAAGTAAGTCGTTTAGGATGTGTATCAATTCAGTCGCGAAGTGGTAAACCGGTATAAGTCGATTTTGACTATTGTAAATAGCGAAATTGTTGTAATTTCCTTTTTGCAGCTCTCAATTTGCTCTACAAAAAAGGTAGTGACGAAAATTTTGCTATTTCGCTTAGATTTTGAGATATTCATTGAAAATTGGGTAATAGTCAAAATCGACTTATACCGGTTTACCACTTCACTACTGAATTGTTTGTCAAGTGTGTAAGAATACATTAATATGATACGGAGGGAGGGAGCTAGCAGCTCTTAAACGTTACGTCCCGTCGTAACTTGCCTGGGGGGGGAGGTATAGGAGAGGTGTATGGCTCACTTAAGGGAAAATGCGAATTTTAGATTTAAAACCTTAACTCCAAATGTAAACAATGGCTTCAATTTTTCATTTGATTATTTAAAATGCTATTTCTGAAGTGTAGAGATCTAACTCTTTTCCAAATTTACAAAATAAATGAAAAACGAAAGTAGGAGCCTATTGAGCCTTATTACCCGCCGTCAGGTAATAAGTACGATTTCAATATCGCTCACTCCGCTGCCTGTAATGCTCGCACCGCAACCTAACGTAAAATCAACCGCTGTCAAGTGACAGAAAAAAAAATCAAACGAAATAAGTGAATAAGAAATAAGTGGGATTTAAAACTACGAAAAGTCTTATTTACTAATCCCCAGATTTGACATCGTAAGGATCTTGAAACCTCGCTACATGTTTTTGTTTATATTCAAAGCGGTAGATGAAGTGAAATTTCTTCGAAAATTGCATCGTGATATTAGATAATTCGTATGAAGAGAAAATATATCTAATACTCTCATTATTGCGACAAATCAAAAGCCCTTCAATTCTAGAGAAGTTCGATATCTCCCAATAAAATGTATCTCAAGAAGAGATAACTGGTATTCACTATGAAGTCATGTTTATTTGAAAATTAACAACCAAATGATAGTTGGTTCAAATATAATTCTCTTGATAAAATTAATTTGTTCTGTCAGTGTAATCCCCGTTTTTGAATAATTTGACCTGCTCTCCATCGAACAATACTAGATAGTGAATAGTATGGATGATTGGAAAAAAATGGCGAAATTCGTTGTCAACATTATAACTCAGATAATGCATCTCTTTATGGAGTGCTTCGTGGCTCAACGAGTGATGGACGCCAGTTCCGACTTGAAGGAGACTATGTACGCTCAAATTGCTCTTTCATATTGCTTCATCACGTTATTAATTGCACTGTTAAATTTCAGAACAAGCGCCAAGTGGTATAACGCTTCGATAAAAACCCAGAAATTGATACCTCTGATGCTCTTGAGAGCGCAAAATCCAGTTGTTTTGACTGCGGGAAAAGTGATTGTCATGGGCATGAATACCTTTGCTGTGGTAAGATCATGAATTACAGTAGACTATCACTAGTTTTTTTTTAAGGCTGCTGAAGTTCACAGCTAGTCTCCGGCATTTGTCGCACAGTCATTGGTTAACTCTTGCTAGTTGCACGCCCATTTGTTGTTCGTTTCAGAGCGCTGTTCCCCACTCTCGACTGCCTTATCGCTGTCTTTTGTTCTCCAGACGTAAACACAGTGGTCTAATAGTATATTTTTCCGTACTGCTCTTCGCTTTTCCCCGTCCGGCGATTGGTATTAGCCCTTGCCCAAATTCGTATAAGCGAAAATGACTACGGAAAAATATCGTTTACTAGTGCCGTGGGGATTTTTACTCGCGTGGTTGGCCAGTCTTCGCCTTCGACTCGGACACCAACTCCACGTGAATAAAACTCCATAGCACTCATCCTGAAATAATTTTATTCAAAAATAAAACTGTTCATTCTCTTTCATTTTTCTGAGAACCTGGGTTGGCATTGATTAAGGAGTGGGGGCCGGTGAAAAATTGCTCATTTCTTGGAAATGATACCCCTACAGCCCTTTCGATGAGCAACTAGTGAGAGTCTACTGTACCTCCTCCTCACCATTGGTTTCTAATATATAATTTCTTTACGAAAATTGCAAAGGAGATAAGATTACAATATTCTAATATTATCGCAGGTACTGAAAACAGCAGCGTCTTATTTTACGGTATTCTTGGCAATGCAATAGACCACCCCGTTATCGTTGTTCTTTTTCTTCAACGCCATTGTGTTACATGAAATAGGAAAGATTCAATTGAATAGTTATCCATTAGATAAAATAGGGTGTTGCAATGTCTTCAACTTTTCCTCTACCTCGAATCATTTGATGACCATGCAACATATGATCGGTGATTATTTTGGTAAAAATTTCAACTGTCTTGATTTCTGGACTTAATAGACTACTAAGCTATTAATAAAAAATCTTTATGTCATGCGTGCGTGTAAAGTACAGGTTAACAGGGGCGTTTGGAGGTCGGTAAGTTGAATTTTACACGCACCACCAATCGTTCTTCACTTAACAGACGTTCCCAGTTTTACATGCGTCCTATGCTATTTTAGTGGTATTTTACACGTTCTCAATAACCCCTAGCGACATCTTGCGGTACAAACATAACCCATTATCCCAACCATACACGGATCAGCTGATCCATTAGACACTATTTAACGAAACAAATCGCAGTGCAAAAAGCTAAAAAATAAACTACATAATAATAAATAATTAACTCAAAAAGTGAAATATGAATACACAAGAAGATATGTTTAGTGAATACGATGAAATACTAACAGATAATATACTTCGAAACGCTCAGGAAGCAGAGAAATGCTATCAAGAAAAAGCCAACTTTGAAAGAAAAAAGAAAATGAGTNTATTAGAGAATAATTTTTTTTGCGCGATTTTTCTTCACCCCCCCACCCTGAAGAAAATATGAGGAAAGTTTGTTGATTTTTCATTATTTTTTTATTAGTATGAAGAATTAATAAACATAAATTATTATTATTATTATTATTATTACTCATATTGTTTTGTCAGATAGATTGGAATATTTGAACAATTATTAAAAGTAACAGATACATTTGACAGGGGATTTTTGAGGAGGTTCATTACATTCAAGTTCTCTTTGTTGTTGATATTGGAATTTGTTGAAGTTGATGAGTCTTCATTAGTTCTTTCATTTTGATCATTGTTGAGTTTGCAGTCTGTGACGGTTGTGGGGTGGTGATGAGATACTTTTTGATTTTTTATATTGTTGAGATTATGTTTATTAATTCTTCATACTAATAAAAAAATAATGAAAAATCAACAAACTTTCCTCATATTTTCTTCAGGGTGGGGGGGTGAAGAAAAATCGCGCAAAAAAAATTATTCTCTAATATTTAGAAAAAATACTCATTTTCTTTTTTCTTTCAAAGTTGGCTTTTTCTTCGGTGCGGCACTTTTCGGCACGACATGAACATAGCAGCAGTATCAAAAGTAATTTTTCTTCACAATGTCCGTAAACCGCATCATGAAGGACGTCATTGTACGGACAGTGTGATGAAAAAATTTTCCAGTATTTTGTATAATTCAGGTATTTCAGAAAGACGTTTTCTTATATACCTTAAACGTATTTTTAATCATCGTGGCGTTTATTTAGCGTATTCTACACCATCTCCTATTTACTGGGTTACTTATCGATCATGCGAGGCAGAACTATGACTCTAATGCAGCATTGTCGCTGATGCGAGCGATCCTTCACCTTCTGCTGAGTCGAGAAGGAAAACTTCAAATGTGGACTCTTGGAATTACATATCATCAATTCATTCGAGGAAAATGCGTTAGTGATTAATATTTTCAGATCATTTAGATGAAGGTGATGATTATCATAGATTGAACAATTTAAGTTTCGATTAACTTGGACAGCAAGCATCTGATAGCGCGTCATGTGACAGTGAGCATGTCACTGAGTGATGTCTTATTTGTTTTCACCATCAATACATTAATGGCGGGCTTCCGAATGGTCTGAACTATTACAAAAGTTTATAGCTTCACAACACTAATTAGCAGCAAGAATTATAGGTGGTTACTGCCACCTCCATGGGTGCTATCAAAATTCATATTTTTTACATATATTTTATATTATATAATATTATATATATATTTTATATTATATTTTATATTTTATATATATATATATTTTATATTATATTATATTTTATACATATTTTTTGTCCAAACTTCAAGTTGATATCTCCAATTTTTGCACAAGCTAGAGCGTTTACAAAGTATTTCTATGGAAAAACGGAAAAACGCGAATATCTCGAAAACTTTATAGGAACGGATATATATGTTTTGATTGATTTAGACAGAAGGCATCGAAACGAATATTTTGAAAACAAAGAAATCGAACTCGGTCCACTAGTTTTGAAGATATTTGCGGATAACGATTTTAACGATTTTAAAAACGAATCGCTTTTCCTTCAAAACTATTAGATCGATCGAGCTAAAATTTTGGACAGAGCTCGATTATAGATCTGACAAAATTTCAGATTTTTTGGAATCACTTTAGCCACTTAATTACTCAATTTCCTAAAAATTAACCACTGGGAAGGGGTTGGCGGACGTGGTCATATACAGACATGGTCGCTAAACTGCGTATCTTTACATTTCAGACTATTCAACATCATTTCCAATCAAAATTAGAGAATGTGAAAATCTAGAGATTACAATGCTTCCATTCGGAAGCAAAAAATAAATAAAAATGATCAAGCCGTAAAAATGGAATTATTACAAAGCAATAACAATAATTACTACTATCCATTTCAGAAGTAGAGGACCCTGGGTTTATATGCGCATAACTTGAGAAAAAAAAATCTTAAAAATATGAGACCAATTGCACTGTGTAATATAAGTATTTCACTCACCCAATACGAAGTTTCAAGTTTTTAATTTGATTAATTTATTTATAATCGCTGTGAGAAGTCGAAAAACCCCCCGATTTTCAGGATCCGTAAAAGTCGACAAACTTTGGACCGCTACCATACGTACGAAAAAAAATTTTTTTAAATCGTCAATTTTTCCAGAGATTTGTTAAACCCTTGGGGAGCCAACGAGAAAAGAAACAACTCAATATTTTAATAATTATTTATTTATTTAATATAAATGTCGACTGCGGCTATCTCGTTGTAGAATTGCCGAACCGACCTCAAAAAAAAGATGCATTCTGAATTCAATGTAAAACACATTCGGTCAATATTTTTCTAATAAACAATCTCCGTGGCAGTGGTCATGACCCCAAAAATAAATTATTTCCTATATTCGGTCCCAAAATATTGGAACGAATACTGGAATATCATTCCATTCTTATTCAAAAATTTGCTGTCGTAATGAATTTGAAGTTCATTTTGCAGAACTCATTGATACTTGAATGATCGTATTAATGAGTGATAGTGATTAATAATAATAATAAGAATAATAAGAATAATAAAGCCCCAGTTTCCCTTAGCATAATTACAAAAAGTAGTGTACCGTATTATTCTAATCTTCCTCATCAGACTAAAAAGATTCTTCCCCAGATTCATCAGAATCATCGTCGTTAACTTCAATAATGAACGGGCCAACGTGCTGAGCCATTCGATCCGCACATACTCGATACTTATCCTCTAATTTTTGCACATGTTGGACACATTTCTTCCACAGATCTTCAGGAACCGAGTTCATAGCCTCAACGCATAAACGATGAACGTCATTGATTTTGAAAGTATTATTTTGCAGTGCGACGCGACTTTTAACATTCGCCCATATTAATTCGATTGCATTGAATTCACAGTGAGCGACGGGGAGCCACAATAATTTCACGCAATATTCCGCGGCTACGTAGCGTAGGATATACCTAAAGTATACTTTATCCAAAAGATAAGATTTGGGGAAGAAATGAGGTTTGGCGAGATTGTACAATCGATTTTTTGTTAATGACTCGAAACGATCAACTCCTTCCGGCCTGCGTACATTTCTCTTGACAAGCCATTGTATTAAGTCCGATTTCAACCACGCTTTCGTAGGATTGCGTTTCTCCGGGTCAATCATCGGGTGATACGGCGCCAAATCAATTACTATTACCGATTTCGAAGGCAACAATTGGAGAATTTTCCTGAACCATTGTTCGTAACGCTGCGCATTCATTTCAGTGTGATAATCACCTCCTTTTTTCCCGATAAAACAATCCATACCTCCTTCCAAAAAACCGTCTTCACTACCGATGTGCGTAATTATAACTCTTTTCCCTGATCCCGATGGAACCAAAAATCCTCCTCGATGGGAAGCAACGTGTTGAACTCGTGATCGGTAATAATCAAAGTTATCAATCTGATTTACCAAAGAAGTAATCTCTACCCATCCATATTTTCTCGCGTGATTCGCCCCACACCATGTTTCATCAGTAAACCAAATTTTGAAACCATGGTCTCTATAATATTTCATCATAGTTAAATACTCCTGACGTTTACGCGCAATAGTTGCACTTTCCATGAGTGCTGGCTTTCTATTATAACGAGCATATTTGAAATTCATTTTTTCAACCAATCGCCGCAAAGTAGGGAGACTAATTTCGGGAAAGTCTGGGACATCTTTTATCAGTATTGCATGCAATTTACTTATGATAGGATATGTTTTGTTAACGTAAAAATCAAGAATACATCTGCGTATGATCCCTAAAAAGAATTCATCACATTTAATGGGAGGACGCCCGTCTTTCATTTTTGGCTCTGAGAAAAAACCGTAATCTTTATATTCGCGAACTACGCGTTGAATGGTACTCACGGAAATTTCCAATTTACTTGCCGTCAATTCAAGCACATTCTTATTGGAAACATTATCGGATTTTATTAACGTTTTACATAAATCCCATGCAGCAAGGATAAATTTCTTCTCTCTTACTGAAAATGGTTTACCTAAATTTTTTGATGTGTCGGACTAATGTTCGTTTCCATTTTGACGCTCATTATCGTAAGTAGACTCGCAGTCTGAGGAAGTATCTGATGGCTGATCCACACAATCATTCAAAACATGCTCGTTGTTATTGTTATTCATATCCATTTCTGCCACATTCTCATACATAACCCTGCTATCAATATATTCAAACATAGCTTCATTATTGCCATCAATGTCTATTTGAATCTCATGCTCATTATCATCACTATCTCTTAAGGTTTCTTCATTATTTTCATCAATATCTATTTGAACCTCACGCTCATTATCATCCTTACTCCTCAAGATTCCTTCATTATTAGTATCAATATCTATCTGAACCTCATGCTCCATATTATCACTATTTTTTAAGATTTCTTCGTTATTGATACCAGTGTCGGCATCGACTTCCATTCCATCCATACATGCATAATTTTCTGTAGTTGAATCATCTACATTAATCGGTTTCAATAACTGAAAATGACCATCCTGATGATGACGTTGGTGCGTACCCGTAAACATCATGTGTACTGT